TGGGATTAAACATGACAATAGGTCTGATCTGATTTCATCATCATTAAAAAAAATCATCTATTATTTTTCACTTTATGTTTCTGTGTGGGAGCAAACTGTTGAAATCCTTGCTTAATGTATACTAAGCTGATCTTCTGTATATTAAGATAATCGAAAATGAATCTTGATGTGAATGGAAGGGGAGAGGGAGTGGGAAAGGGGAGGGTTGTGGGTGGGAGGGACGGTATGGGGGGGAAGCCATAGTAATCCATTATTCGTACTTTGGAAACGTATATTCATTAAATAAAAGTTAAAAAAAAAAAAAAAAAAAAATGAAAACCAAAAAATTAGCATTGGCGCAATACTTTATTAGCTTACAGATTTTATTAGAATTTCAGTGGTTACAACAGTGCTTTTGAAATTTTGTATTATGATCTGTTAGTGCAGTTATTCATAACTTTAGCTATACATTGGAATTACCTTGGGAACTCTAAAAACTAGTGTACTTGGACCACACCTCCACATTTTTCTAATTTAATTTGTTTGAGTCATGGCCCATAATGTTAAGAGTTCTCCAAATAATTGTAATATGTAATATAAATGGTCATGAAATCAATTTAATTAGTTATAAGTACAAAAAAATGGGATGGAATTCAAAATATTAGATGACTTTGTATGTAGAATAAGAATTGTTACAGAAAATTTGCTCCATTTATAAATATATATTGGGTTACAATGTAAAATTAATTTCATGTTATGACTCATGGGCAAAAAGGATTTTTTCAAATTACTTATTTGAGGGGCTGGCTTTGTGGCATAGCAGGTAAAACCACGCCAGCAGTGTGTTCGAGTCCCGGCTGCTCCACTTCTGATCTAGCTCTCTGCCAGTGGCCTGGGAAAAACAGCAGAAGATGGATCAAGTGCTTGGGCCCCTGCATCCATGTAGAAGGCCCAGATGGAGTTCCTGACTCCTAGCTTCAACCTGGCTCAGGCTTGGCTGTTGTGGCCACTTGGGGAATGAACCAGCAGATGGAAGATCTCTCTTTCAATCTGTCTCTCCCTCTCTTTAGCTCTGACTTACAAATGAATGAATATATTTTTTTAAAAAAAACTATTTGAGAGACATAGATATAGATAAATGGATAGATGATAGAGAAATAGATAGATAGGTGATAGCTTTCTGATATACTGACTCACTCCCCAAATGCTTGCAATGGCTGGGGCTGGGCTGGGCCAAAGCCAGAAATTCAACTCAGATTTCCCATGTGAGTGGCAGGATCCCAACTACTTGGGGTCAATGTTGCCTTCTAAGGTCTGAATTAATAAGAAACAAGAACCAGGAGCTGGAGCTGGGAGTTAAACCCAGGTAGTCTGATGTGGGATGTGGGCATCCTAACCAGTATTTTAACTGCTAGGCCAAATATCCGCCCCCAAAAGAGATTTTAAGCCTGCATCTCAGTTATAGATCTGGAAGTGGAGTTCCCAAGTCACAAAACACATGCATCTTTCATTTTACTGGATGGTTCCCAATTGCTTGCTAAAGTGTTGATACTAGGGGCCGGTGCTCTGGCATAGTAAGCTAAGCTTCCACCTGTGACACTGGCATCCCATATGGGCACTGGCTCATGTCCCAGCTGTTCCTCTTCCAATCCAGCTCTCCGCTATGGCCTGGGAAAGCTGTGGAAGATGGCCCAATTGCCCCCAGCATTTGTCTTTTATCTTTTTGATAATGAGCAATCTAAATGGAATAAAGTCATATCTCTTTGTGGCTTTTATTTGCATTTTCCTGATAATTACTGATGGTGGACATTTTTTTCTTGTGCCTGTTTGCTATTTGTGTGCCTTCTGTTGAGGAATTTCCATTTAAAACCCCTGCCCATTTTTAAATTGAATTATTTTTTTTTTGCTGTTGTTTCAGTTGCTTAACCACTTGTCAGAAATATAGTTATTATCTCCCACTATGTAACTTGCCTTTCCACTTTGTTGATCATTTCCTTTGCTGTGAAGAAGGTCTTTAATTTATTAAAATCCCATTTGTCTGTTTTTGCTTTAGTTTGCTGTGCTTTGGGGGTCTGATCCAAAAAATCGTTACTCAATGCAATGTCCTGAAGTGTTTCCCCTAGGTTTTCTTCTGGTAGTTTCAAAGCTTCAAGACTTAGAGATGGGTGTTCAGTGTAGCAGTTAAGTAGTTTCCACTTGAGACATCAGTATCCCATTTCAGAGTGTCTGGTTTGAATCCTGATTCCTGGACTTTTGATCCAGCTTTCTTTGATTCAGCTTTGTCCAACCTGGCTTCCTGCTGATGCACACCCTGGGAAGCAGCAGGTGATGGCTCAAGTACTTGGTCTCTATCAACCATGTGGGAGACCCCGATCAAGTTCTAGTCTCTTGGCTTTGGCTTGGCCTGGCCATAGCTGTTACAGGCATTCGGGGAGTGAACCAGCAGATGGAAGATATTTGTCTGTCTGTTTGCCTCTATATCCCTGGTTTCTCTGCTTTTAAAATAAACTGAAACTGAACAAGCAATAATTTAGAAAAATAAAGTTACAGGTCTTACACTTAGGTCTTTAGTCCATTTTGAGTTGATTTTGTGTATGGTGGGGGATGGAAGTCAGAATGTCTATTTAAGTGCAGTCATATGTATCAATCATTATGGTTTTTGCTCCTTATGACTTTTTTTTTTGACAGGCAGAGTGGACAGTGAGAGAGACAGAGAGAAAGGTCTTCCTTTTCTATTGGTTCACCCTCCAATGACCACCATGGCTGGTGCGCTGCGGCCACGCACCGCGCTGATCCGAAGCCAGGAGCCAGGTGCTTCTCCTGGTCTCCCATGCAGGTGCAGGGCCCAAGCTCTTGGGCCATCCTCCACTGCACTCCCGGGCCACAGCAGAGAGCTGGCCTGGAAGAGGGGCAACCGGGACAGACTCCGGCGCCCTGACCGGGACTAGGACCCGGGGTGCCAGCGCTGCAGGTGGAGGATTAGCCTAGTGAGCCATGGCGCCGGCCGCTCCTTATGACTTTTTAAAAGAAATCTTCTCTTACCCTGAGACCATAAGGATATTGTCCTCTGTCTTCTAGAAACTTTGATACTGTGTTTCTCACAGTTGTCTGCTGTGTCTTTAACGTCTCCTTACATTTTACCTTTTTGATGGGATCAATGTAGATTTACATGCAGTTGTATGAAATAATACAGGAATC